GAAAGATTGCGGTCAAGACCACCCCTGGACTATAAACACCCACACGCTCATTCAAGGTGTGGCGGATGTGATGAACATGACTGATACTCTACTCGTTGCTCTATTCATTATTCTCCTGTTTTAATATTCCATATGCTGTACATAGTCGCCAATTTGAATACATACGTGCTGGTTGTTACGCTTCGCTGAATTCTGGATTTCTAGTTCATCTGGTTATTCCGATATACTTACGTAACGTAATTCTCACAAACATTCCGTGAATTCGTGAACCTCTAAACTTAGCTGATAGCTGCAACTCTCGTCCTAGGAGCTGCTCTGTTTCAGATGGTTACCTTTGCGTTTAAGCCGCGTCTGTTCGTCTAGAAATGCCGGTAGACCTTTGCTAATACCATACATTTCAGTACATTGCAGTACACATCAGTACATTGCACATAGCGCGCTAATTAATTCTTCGTAAACAAGCGACCTGGGTATTTGTTTTGATGCGTTAATCGTTGTCACTTATGCTTCAGCATAGGCATGTTGGATGAGGCTTGTACATCTTCAGGCTTTGTTCAGTCAAAGTCTTTGTGCGCTTCGGTTTCGAAAACAGCCCCTAAAAGAGCATGCCTGCTGTATAATTCACAAGCTTACGTGCGGAACTATATTTCATGACATTTTGCCAGTAAATAGGCCCGTGTTAGATCATTATCTGAAGAAAAGGAAACTGCCGCTGAAACAACAGGCGTCGTCGTCCGAAATGAAATTTTTTTATTCACCTCCGGATAACACTCAGTCATTCTCCAACATTGCACCGGTAAAGATGGCACGCAGTCCTAGCGGTTTCTTGGGGTGGTAGTTTCTCTCCAGACAAAACAGCATAGTAATTTTTCTACCAGAAATCACAAAAATTGACTAAACCGAGGATTCCGGTGCGTTCCAAATATTTGCGCCATATGCTACAAATTTTCTCAGTCACCATTATTTTGTGCCATCGGGTTAAAAAATTAGCAAGATGCCCTTGATAACGCACCTGCTAAAAATGCCTTTAGATGCCCGATTGTCGCTGCGAAAATCTCATAAACTCCACAACAATCAGGCCCAGACGCGACTACGTTTAAAATAGGTGACCAAAGCACATCTCACAGTTGTAACTTCAGACACGGACGCCTCTCAAACGCCATGATGCCCATTTTTACTGCAGATTACTTAGCCAGCTGTTCCGTGAACGCCGCACCCAAACATCCATTCAGTAGTTTGTTTACGCTACACCGAACGTTGCCTTATCACTGATCCTGTCAGTATAGAATACCATCTGAACGTTTACTTCGCCAACTGGTAATATTCACCTCCTACCAACGTCAAACCCTAAGGCCCTGAAGCTCGTTGCACAGCCCTAATCGTCAGAGTAGCCACCGGCTTCTTAGCTACGTAACCGTATCCTCAAACGATCTTTCTGTCCTTGGAAAAGTTGCAGCACCAGGGGCCGATAAGCCCCCATCCTGCGTTCTAAAACATGGCGGTCAAGGTATCAGAATTGTTGTCCCAAATTCGTTTGCCCAATTAATAAACTGTGAAATGATCTCTTCCCTGTAGGAACAAGCTAGAGTCGATTCTCACTTCAGTTCCGCATCTCGACAAACTACTTCCGACTACAGGGGGTTCACCTTATCCTCATTCATACAGAACCCACGAGCTTCTAGTCAAAGGCCTGTCAACCAGGTCCGTTCTAGCTACAAGTGTTACTGATCACCGGCAGTAAAGTGTTTCGTCTTAGAAATTAGCCAGTGGCTGGCAGCTTCAATTTCTTTAGACCATTACAGCACCGGGAAATTATGGAGCATTCCACTGTAGTGGAGTACCTTTAGTGTCGTTGGGCCCCTAGCTACTGAATCACCTCCCGCTTCTCCGACGAGATAAAAACGGCACAAGGTGGTCGCAGTCATTCGCATTATTGATCACTACTGGAGAACATGCAAGTCATCATACTATCCCCGCTTATGTCAGCTGCGTCTTCGGGGCCGTGTCCCATGGCACACTTATCCCCTTTGCCGACGTTATGAGAATGCCAGCGCAATTCCTTTCTCTGCTGAAGCACTTAACTCTCACCTTTAACAGGACTTACACACTAACTAATTGGTCAAACGCCTTTGACCCAAACTTCCCTTCTGCCAAGTCACAAATAACATTTTGAGGCTTCTCCTTCCCCAAACCTTGTTCATATTTAACGGTCATTCACCAATTCATTTCAAACAGATCAAACGCTATAGTCTCAGGTACCCTTGCATCTTTCGCTTTTTCCACAAAATCAAGTTCCAGTTCACCCGAGAATAAAAAGCCCTGCTCTCTAAAATTGCGATAATTTCAGCTTCGAGACACGAAGGTACCTTTTCCTCCCAACCTGTTCAACGAAGCATAAATCAGGGTCAGATCTAGCCGCAGGTCGTTGAGGATACAAGTTTTTACAAAGCATGTGGCAGCTTTGTTTTGATGTAGGCGGTTAATGTCGTAGATGTGTATCTGCTCTTGGTTGCGGAGGAGGGCAGTAAGTGCATGGCCGAGTAGCTTTCAAAATGGGATCTCAGACAAATTGTTTGCGGGTAACAAGGGTGGTGGAACTTGATGTGACTGAAAATTTCCACTTTGGATTACGTCAAGGGCCTGGTGCGCACTCTCCGAAGAGATGCAGTTTGGATGAATTTTGATAAAGTTTACCCAAGGTGCATTCTGGTAAGTGAGGAATTCACTGCTAGCCAGTTTGGTGGAATGTTTTATGGACGTCAGCTCTCGCTTCATCGTGCCTCCGGCGAAGTTCTCTCCTCAATGGTACAATGATTTTTTATAGCGATTTGGGAGGAATTCGTATGTTTTCCGACAGAGTGAGTGGACATTACGACGGGTTGGCCAGTTCTTCGGCGTTTTGGCACAGATCAAGAGTACCGTGACGGTCTTGTGTGCGCATGCGACACATCTGGTCGGGAAGAAGTACAAACACCTTGAACCATACGCAAGTCATCAAATTTGGATGGTGAACGTGGTTCCAGCATCGCAACGTCGATCGTGGGTTGGTAAACATCCACATGCATGAGCGTTATGGGTGAGCCAGTGAGGGTTATTGGGGTGGTTATGACGGGCAAACAAATCCTGACGGACGCAGACCCGTATGGATCAACGGTATACTTGGGTGCATGCAGGGTGGCGAATAGTTCATTGTTGCCCCACACGGGCCGATAATACAGTCGTTTCTAGAGTGGTGATTCGAAAAGATAAAACGCACAAAGGGTCTACAGTAGAGCAGAGCGGTGCTGGCAAGCGCTTAGGGAGGAATATGTTCCCCATGATGATAAACTAGCACGTGGAATTTTTTAAGCGGTTAGGTAACGCTCATTCAAAAAGCGAGTGAGAAGACTGCAAAGCAGAAAGAGTTACCAGCTGAAGGATACGGGGAACGACAGCATGTCGCGTAGAAGAAGCGTTGTTTGAAGCTGGAAGACGTATGAATGTGGCAGAATTATGTGTGCGAATTTTCGGTATTATTGACAAGTTCATTGGCAACATCCAACATACATATATGATCCAAATGTTCCTCAGGTGTCCCTTGCGGCTGGAACTTACATTGAACTTCCTGTAAATTTTGGCTCACATTTGGAGAACAGCACAGACCAATAAAGTGCTAGTGTTACTTCGTGCTTTATCGCATAAACTTCTTTAGCGATTAGCGAATCGGCTCTAGTCAGCAGATTTGAAAATTTCCCTTTTGGAACAAACAGTTACAAGAAATATAATAGTGGAACGTGCAGAAGGAAAGGAACGACCCCCTTGGGAAACTATCATCCACGGTAAACCCCATCCTTTCGGCGAAATTAATTTCGGTTGCTTCTGGTGGTTGGCGTAACATCCCGACCCGCCAGAAATTATAGTTGGCCGAAAATGAAAGAAATTTGCAAGTGGTTTTGCAGCTACAATACGGTTGGGAATATTGGAGCCCAATGTGCACTCGTTGGCGCAAAACAAGCGGAGGGAGCACTCCTGTATCTAATTTTGTCTGGTATCTTCAGCTCAAGGATACGAATGTGGAAGATTGTGTCTTTTCAACTCAATAAGTGTTTATCCATGTACCCGTTGTCAGAGAAACACTCATCAAATTCTGGTAACCCACACGAAGTTTTGAGAGCGCAAGGATTGCAGCATGTGTAATAGACTCAGTTTTTATTAAAGAATAAAAGGCGTAAATACGGTCATAAATTTTATCCGACCGTTTTTCGTAGGTTGTGACCGCTGGTGAACTGCCTGCAATCAGTGGCAGCAGAGTTCCCCGGTATAAATGGTAAAAATAACGGCCTTCAGTAACCAGCCCCGTGGAGTTGACGATTGGTTTGTCCTAGAGATGTACACTGAGAGGTGATAATCATAGCATCAACCATTGAACACCACCCCACAGGAGGAGGAAACCCTCAACTTTTCGGCGGAATTGCCTAACGAGATGGTCAATGCGTGCATAACAGCAACGGGTACCTAACTGACGCGCTTGACTTGAATGCGACTAGAGGATATCGATTCCTAACCAATGGTAAGATGCAGCGGACGTCAAACAATGCAGGCAGCAGAGCGAGTCTAGCACACGTAGATGACAAATACGCACCTAGGGGTTCACGAAGCCTAACCAGTTTGTTTCAGGATCGTCTGCTGAGTTGGTGAAACACTCACTCATAAGGCAAACGAAATGGGGGAGGTTTTGGCCAGCTGCTTGCAAGAACACCGCATAAGTACTTCCAATGCATTCATTTAAAGTATTTTTAAATAGTGGCAGATTCTAATTTTTTCACACATTTGTCTTACATAGATACATACTTATCTTCCACATACCTCCAAACTCTCTGAGGCAATTGTCAAAATTAACGCGCGCCAAAAATTATGGAAGGAACTAATCAGGTCACTTAGGTAAATTCGAAGCGGGGCATGTTGCTTTTTGGTTTCGGCAAACGAAGAGAAAATGCAATACTTGAACGCATAATTCGCCCCCTTGTGTGCAGAACGGTTTTGGGGAAAGTTCTATTCGCCAGATTAGGATCATGTGCAACTACAGATTCTGGGCTTTTAGTCCTTATGTGTAGTGAAGATAAAAGGTGAGTAAATATTACTAATAAAAATGTTGTGAAATACATACAACGCGTGTGCTCTCCATACACCATGCGCCATACACTCCACACCTTACGCACTCACCGAACTCAGTACGCCTTCAAGTGTTTAATAGGTTCCCAATGAGCTATTCCTCGTCAACAACGACAAAATTCATGCTAGTTGCGGCTTCATATTTTTCCAAACCTACAGGATTTGTGGGTTTTCCTCCATAAGTGTCACAATTGTGTGGATTAACTCCGCCCACAAAACGATGGTTCAGATACTCATTGCCAGATGCTGTTCCTGTTGGTGACAAGATGTCGAGTTAGGAAGAACCGGAAACAGCAGATTGGTTTCGAGGTCTACAGGGAATTTTGGTGCCTACGTATGCATAGTTGAGTTTCAAGTGAACCTGAGACGTGCACCCAGTCTGTGAATAACCATTGTTGGACGCGCCATGACTACCAATACTAGTCGCAATCTGCGTATCGGCAGACTGATTTGTTTTGGCTTGCCACACATAACTCTTGACCACACCTCAATTTTCTTTAGGCCACCTGTAACCATTTGATCGCGATGAAGAATATATCAAAGATTTCACCCAAATATTTCTTCTGTTTGGAAACTTTATATCTACAAATATCTTATTAAGTGTTTGTGAGTCAACAGCGTTGAACATGTTTACCTGTAGGATCTTACAGTTCATGGACGCCAAGTGCCTGGTAGGTTAGCATTAAGTCGATCGCTTGGGATATCCGGAGTTCATATCTTGGAATAGCCANTGAACGTTCCCTGATTAGAGGTGCGAATGCCCAGAAACGTCTGTACAGATGTGAGCACAGCTAGCGCAGCTCAGAGTATACCGGATTTTTTGGTTTTCACGAGCATGGGAGTGACTGTTATGTAAACTCATGTAATGTAATTTATGTAATGTAATGTAATTTATGGTGTTACAGTCGTGTAGCTTTAAATGTTAAGTGCATCGAAGAGACTGGAATTTTCCCGTGTTATTAGGCAGGCAAAGGACGTATTGTGACCACAAGATGTCATCACATCTGCATGGTGGTCGCATTTCACCGAATTTCCCTGCTGGAATTTTTCCCCACGGATACGGGTAACTTTGATCCCAATAACCATGTTATAGGGATTAGTAAGCGATGCTCCACGAGGCTCGTTTTTCAAGGATTGATTTCCTCAGAATGCATCTCTCGGTGTTTTGTTTCATTCAAAAGTGCAGTTGAGAATCGAGTGGTATCCTCCGCATTATGAAACCCGCTCACAAATTGCGAACAAGGGTATCTAGAACCGAAAATGTAAGCTACCAATGTGATGGCAGTCAGCCTTTGCGCTGTGGGTGATCCAACACATCATCCACACCTATTTCTGATCCGTCGACTACTCTGTCAGAAGCCCCTTTATTTAGACGGTCTTTGTTGCCGAGTGACCAAGAATTTAGCTGAAAAATTAATTTTCTGATTTTGTTGTTCACCAGAAGAGGTAAATAATGGATTCGTCAGCCGTTAATTGATACACCATTTATCGCAATTGATTGGAAGGAAGTATACTGAGTTTCCTAACATAGTCAGTCATGTGTTTCACCGAGGTTCTACTGTATATAGACCGCCGCTCTTCCCGGAATAACGCAAACTTCTGGTACATTTCGGATATTGTTGAGCGCACGAAAGTTGCGTGTTGCTGCAGTAAGAACCTTTGACACACTTCGTATAAAAAGCTTTGAGTTGTTGAGGAACTCCTGATAACGGCGGTCATTTATTCATCGTAAACAGGGAAGAAATCGTCTGAACTCAGTCAATTTTCGCTACTAAATGCCGTCGAGGTTTTGGTACTCACAAAGAAATTTCCTGATTACGGAAATACTGATCACTGTTTCACCAGATCATTGGGTATTGGCAATTATTGCATGAACACTCTGACCGAAATCATCATCATTGTCAGCTGTACTAATCGCGTACTCGTCGTGCGGTGGTTTTATCTGTCGCAGTTACGGTCCCCGAAGATTGGAGGAGAGGATAGATAGCTGCGCATTGCAGGCGTGAGATGATAGATTGGTGCATAAATCCAGCATTGTCAGTGGGCTGTCAAGTGGGGTGGTT